AGACTTAATAATGTTATTTTTGATTTACAAATACTTTGGCATATGATTTTATTTCAAAATTCTAAAGGAGTAATCGTTATTTGAAATACATTACTCTTTAATGTGTCTATAAGTATTGATATCTTTCACGATTTTAAACATACTTCTTTGAAGATAAAATCTTTTTCTTAGGTTTTAACTTTGAACCATTATTCATCATTATTCTTTGGGTCGTTCTAAAAGTTTTTGGATTTGGCCAGTTTTAAAAAATGGTCTTTTGTACATCTTGAGGCAGTTTTCATCAATGATAATAGTGTTTTGTTGTGAAGAATAATAATATTTTTTATAATTACATTTCCATTACGAAATAGGGTTCTCTTTTTAAATATTTTTCGTGAATTGAAAACCTAAAACCTATTCTGTTTATAACACGAAATTTTGTATTAAGATAGTTATTTTAGATAAATGTAATAAATTTGTAGAATTTTGTTATTCTCTTAACCATTCTTTATTGATAATATTTAGATTAAGGATCTTCAGGAGTTTTCATCAAACGATATCTGCTCCAGTTCTTTGAAATTATCAATGCATTTTGCAGTAACAATTTATTACGACAGATTGATACTTATTTATATGATACAATTCACGACCCTATTCCATTAAAATACCAGACAACATCAGAGTTACATTCTTTAAATGTTATTAATTAATCGTATAACTATGTTTTTGTAAAACACACACACAAAAGGTATGTTACCTTTTGTGAAACATTAATGGTTCGACCTTTTTGATAACCCAACTTTATTTTTAATATTATAATTTTAAAACGTACAGTCAAGTAAAACTGCCCACATTTTATACGAAGGATGTATAACATTTGACACATATTTTAAAAGACACATCACAAGAGAGTGTCATACAAGAATTAAACGATGGAATTATACGATTTCCATAATAAGTAATGTCAATTTTATAAAGGGTTTAAAAAATCTAGAGAAATTAGGTCAATAAAAGTAATAAATATTGAATATGAAATATATTTATTATATTGTTTAGTTTTTGTTGTAACATATTTTAAAAGAACTGCATATTGTAGAACTATATAAATAAGGGCTTGTAATATTTATTATATATAATAAATAAATGAATTTGGAAGCTACGGAGTAATTATATTTACAGAATTTACATAACGGATTAGAGATGACAAAAATGAATTATAACCCACTTGGTATCGATACAATTACACTAAAAGATAAAGATATATGTGCTTTAATAAATAATTGAGAACCTATACTACATCTTAAGTGACGGTGCAAAGAAGATATGTGAAGCAAAAAGAAGTTTAATCCCTGGAAACGAAGCAGCATCGAGTGCTTTCAGGGAAGCTTCGAATGGCTCTCTAGGGTCACACATTTCACAGCGGTCGCAACGAATGCATAGAAATATTATAATAATGAGGTCGAATGTATATTGAGCATATCATAACTAAAATACTCAGGCCATTTCAGTAAGATCCAAAACATATAAACTAAATAAAAATATATATGGAATTATAAAACGTGGAACGAAATCCTCCTAAGTCAAATAACTCTAATGCTTTTAGCGACTTAATTACTCTGGGACTTGAGACTGTTGTTCTGTTCATAATTGACCGTTCTCGCACCTCGAGTTCGCACTTGACATAGATCCTTACCAACCTCGCGCTCCAACCTACCATACACTATGGAGAGCGAACTTATATACTCGTAATAATAAGGTCCAATTAATTTCTATGGAATGTTTTTGGCATTATTGTCTTACAAATTGAAAAATCTTTTATTCTATTAACTTTAATTAATATTTTTAATATGTGTGTTGTTGACAGAGTTAAAGCTCTAGAAATTTTTCGCTTAAAATTTTCAATTCCTTATAAAAATACATTGTTCCTACATAATATCGCAATTTGTTATGTTGGAGAATTTTATTTATCGACGTTGCTTCTTTAGCTTGATTTGAATACTGTAAGAGCGAAATTTTTATTTGTTTAATATAATTTTTGCTTTTAATACAATGTTTGTTCTGGTAATTAATATTACGAGTGTTTTATATAATGAGCCCTCAAAACAAGGCGAATGTATATATTAATATGTAGAATATATCAAGGGTATTAATGACAGCAAATTATGTAATTCCCCAAAGCCCACATGATATTATACTGTTAGCTTATTTATTAGGTTTCAATTGATTCTAAAATGCAAATAGGAATGAAGTTGTAACGGGGCAATATAACATTTTACAAAGTACATACATATTTGAATAACGTTTTCCTTTTTGTAGACCCAAGAATATTCTTGCAAAAAATGCGAATAATATTCTTACAATGAAATATTTATGTTAAATTTTATTGATTTCAAATGTGATCGCTGATTAGAATTCAAAATAATAAGCTGTAACAAAATAATATCGCTGATTAAAGAAGCTTTTTTCATGTCTTCATAAATCATAATACATTGATTGGAGATTATCCAAAGATGTATTAGATGGTAATGAAATATAAGTAATAAAGATAAATTATATATAAACATAACATAAAACTAAAGATTCAGTATAATAATATTATGTTAGAAATTTTTTAGAAACTTAAAAAGATCTTGTTTCATGTTTTGTATTATCATCGTCATTACCATCGGTATCACTGTTAACCAATCACTCTTATTCTTATTCTATGTCGGTTATATTAACCTTATGTTCATCTATCTCGGTTATGGGCAGCTGATATTAAATAGTTCCTTGCCACCTTTTAAATATATAGCCCATACTGAACTTGCTCTATATGGAACAAAATATATCCTAATGTTTAGAAATACATATAAGCGAGCGACTCACATTTCATCGTGTTAATTCTGCGTGTAAAGTCAGTAGTTTTATTTCTTCAATCTCTTTAAAAATAAACGGATACTTAATCCATAGTACATAGTTTTAATAATAATTTTGATTTTCAAAATAGATTATGAATTTTTAACTTTAGAATAACATTTATTGCTGAGTCTGAAATTATATTTTCAAAATTAATGTCCGATTGAATTTAACTTGTATTTTTATATGAAATCGATTGTATTCTCTTATATACTGTACAAAATTTTGCACTCTAAAATATTGGATTTTTTTGCGTCCCTTTTTCAACAGAGCTGAATTCTAGGCCAGTCGTTATTTTCACAAGAACTAACAACCCTGGTATGTAATATGATTTAAAGCCATTTCTTATTATAATATTCTTTTAATTTTATTTGTTTGATGAAACTACTTTACTTGTGATTGTCTATGATTTATGTATATAATATTCTGATGCAATGTTACACAGAAATTGCTAAGTATAACAATAATCAAATTAATATTGAGATTTCGTTCACAATTGATGTCATGGGAACATTACTATTTGAGTAGCAAATTTCACATTCAGACAACAAGCGGTATTATTAATTTCTAGCTACTGTTCCTAGGAACTATTGCTCTTATATTTCATGGTGTGTTATTGAGAATCAATGAGTTATTTAGATTGGGTTACAGCGTCGCAATTAGTATGGAGTTTGATTTCAAATATGGATCATATGAGATACTCAAGTACCTAGCATAATTGATATGATATGACAAAACATAATGTCTATGATATTTAACTGCCATGCAAAAACTTATGTTTGTTAAGTGTATACTTGCTTGAGAGTTATCGTTATGTGTTTAGAAATGTTATATTGAAAGAAAAAACTCGAAAAAAAAATTTAGTAGCATTAGGTTATTACGGTATTGCATTCAAGCGAAGTGGAGCCATCGCATGTATCTATGTCAAGGGACCACAGAAGACTTGTCTAGTGGCCAATTATTGTAAGCTCTTACAAAGTATGCTTGAAAACAGTCGTAGTCGTTTCTTAATCAGGCTAAAATATTTTGTCGTTTTTCGGAACATACTGCGCTTATTATATACAAATATTAAAAGCATACTCTTCTTTTTTTAGATAATATTGAAGTTATTAAAGGATTTGATTTATTAATGAGCAAAAAGTCTGTTTCCGCCCGGGATCGAACCGGGGACCTTCTGCGTGTTAGGCAGATGTGATAACCGCTACACCACGGAAACGTTGTTACTGATACCTAAAATGTTTCAGCTGTTGTGGTTAATAAATTTAACCTTCAAGCGGGCGCGCGGTCATTTCTAACGGGAGCGGGCGCGCGTAACCGAAAAGACGTATGGGATGAATAAAAGAAATAAAGCCCTAATAATTCAATAATTATTTATTTAGTTGTACTTAGATATATAATCATTGTTTTTATAGTCTAATTTTTCAAAAAAGTATTAAAGTTATGAAAAAGAAACAATTACTAAACTTATTAACATAACACAAATATTCTTTGGATTAAAACAAAAATAAGGAACACAAAACCCTTTAACGTATCTCAGACTAGTATATATACCTAATGTAATTATAAAAAATACAAAATAAAAGTGAATTATAAGTTTAGTTTTTATCAGAATCAGTTTCTTTGTCTATATAACATTGATTGCAAATGAAAGTTGTATGACTTCTGCAAATATTTTTCATACATAATTTACATTGCGTTTTTGATTGCCTCCTCTTTTTGGCTGGACATATCTTACAGGTTTCTCTGCATGTACGAGAACTAGCTGCTTCAGTATCAGCAGTTCCTTCTTCTATATTCAGATACTCCCTTATGTTTCTTTTTAGTTTTCTGGGAAGGCCCGCTATCGTTGATCTCTTTTGGATGTACTCTTTTATCAATTCAGTGCCTAATGCCCGTAAATACATTCGCCTTTTCCGTAGAGTCACATTATTTGCTCTCAATATCACCATACTATTTATTCCTGCAGTATCCAGAAGACGAAAGACTAGTGTTAATGGCCATCTATTATTCTTTCTTGAAACCGAATACATTTTTACTTTTTTATCAACCTCGTCGACACCCCCCTTTGTTTTATTGTAAAAAGTAACAATGTTATAAAGTAGGTATTTATTTCTGAAAGTGATCACCCTCTTCTGAGTCCGAGACGTTTGATTCTTCAGCAGGTAGAGGTTCCTCTGCAACAATGTGGTCGTATTTTCAGAGCCTTGGTCGCTAAGCTCTGATTCACTCTCTTCTTCGTCTTCTTCGAGTAATTGCTCGAGTATTGCACTTTGTGATAACCGCCCATGACTCATTTTATATAAAAAGTACAAGCTTGCTTCGATAATACTGAATAATGGCCGCAACTAATGTATGAGCGGAACAAGGATATGTCGCATTGACCGTCGCGTGTAACCTTTTCGACGATAGGCGCGTGTAATCTTTTCGACGACTGCGCCGCAACTAAAACAATTGCGATCTGTGGAGGGGAGAGAGCACCCCGAGCAACGGTCTATTCTTTGTTTTACTCAAAATAATATAGCGACAGGCTACTAGAAGTGAGAAATAAATGTAATAGGTAATAATAGTAATATGAACGAAAATGTACTAAGCGCGGTCGAATCGACTACACGCGCCCGCTTGAAGGTTAATATAAAAACATTGTGATATAATTTATGTATAACTAGCTTTCCGCCCGCAGCTTCGCCGCGTGGAGTTCGGTTATATCGCGTTTCCAAGAGAACCTTTCAAAAGTCTGGGATAAAAACTATCCTATGTTCTTTCTCAAGGTCAACTCTATCTCTGTACCGAATTTCATTAAAATCAGTTCAGTGGTTTAGGCGTGAAAGCGTAGCAGACAGACAGACAGACAGACAGACAGAGTTACTTTCGCATTTATAATATTAGTAGGGATTTATGTTTACGAAATGCCATTGATACGGTTTGTGTATCTATTAATATAATTATTTACAAAGAACAATAATTTATCTATTATAGCAATCGCTACTATTAAAAGTTTAAATTTATATTAGGGCTTAACCTAAATTCGTATCACTACAAATATACAGTTACATTTTAATAAATAATCAGATCAAGATTATGTATTCCTTTTCTTTCATAATGTCATTCCACACTTTGGTGGGTTGGTATTAGAAGCAGTGTCGCAGTCACAGACCCCCAGAATGAAATTGGAAGGAAACAAGGACGCAGGCAAACTCAACGAAAGAATGGAGACTAGATGCGTTTAATCGGCCGGTAGTCAAAAGGGGATAGGGGAATTAAATTGTGTAATTCCTATACACATTTCACACTGCAAAGAGTATCCTTTAGATAGTGAGAGATTGGAGACTTCACGCCTGAGCTTAAGGTTGACTAGATTGATTTTTATAAAATCATGGTCACTAACAAGGCTTATACCATGTCTGTAATTGTCTTAATATGTCTTATGGTAATTACCATGATTATTGGGTACAACATTTTTTTTGTTCAAGGTGAAGATGAAGCTGAAATTTCATTGCGGATATACCTGTGGGGTCTGGCACATAGGAGAAAATTATTTTCGAGAGGCTAACCAGGGCATAAAAGGTACGCCGGGTCTGTTGGAGATAGAATCTTTTATCTGCGTCTTCGTCATAAGAAATAAGTGCGTGTACCACTCTAGGTGGCGGTGAACTAGCAAGATACTACATTGCCAAACTCTGATGTTAGTAAGGGGAACTTAAGCGAAAAGAAGTACAATCAATGGGAAAACTTGATTATGTCAAAAGGGTAAAAACAATTGTAATGGCCTCATATGAAAATACAACTTTGTTGCTAAACATATTATTATTCAATATGAATATAAACATTATATAGTATTCCATAATATTATTGAATACTATGTTACACAAACAGCATCATCAATGATAATGTTATTTTATATAATAATTACTATTATGTTTTTAGACTTCCAATTCTAATTCAGTAAACACTACGATTTTGTCCATTTTGATGTTGATAAATTAGTCAAAGTCAGGCATACATTGATGATTGCTGGATACAATTAGGTCCCAATTCTAGGACTAAATCAGAACTCAGCGGCCATTTATTAAGTACTAACTGGTTTCTGAAATGCAAATGAGAATTGCTTTGATATTCAACTTAGGTCCAAGTAATATTGCAAAGTCAAACTGTAATACTGGCAAAATTAACTGGAGTTACTTTGCATAATTGGAAATTACTTTTATTTGCGGTTTTCGGGTATATTTCAAATAATTTTATTTCAGATACAAACTAAGTTATTTTATTAAATTGTGATGATTGTTCATTTGAATATTCGCATTTTAAAATTAGTTAAAAATAATTTTGTCCTTTTTTTCATTACGAGTCGAGCTGTACTTAATTCAGTGTTTAAATGTTTTTTCGACTTTTAGAATTACTTGTATTTCAATTTCTTTTGGTTTGTAATGGATTGAATGGTACGTATTTTTGGTTTTCAATTATCAGTTAGAATGTAAAATATTGTAACTAAATCATATTATAACAATATAAGAAATCAGTTGTAATAGAAAGTAAGTAACAATAATTATTGATTTTGTCAACTTGGACTGTAAAATTATCCTTGTAGTGAAATTGTTAAGTATGGTTAAACAATAGATATGGTAAGCAACTGCCAGCTACATCTGTAGTCAGCGTCACATAACTTCATATACAAAACAATTGCTAAGCGTTGTTGCTGCGGCAACTACACGGAATTTTGGGATAAATTATAGACTATGTCTTGTTCTAGTATTTATGCTACATTGTACAGTTACATCAAAATTTGTTAAATGTTTTTTGTGTCAAAGAGTAACAGAACTCTCACATCCATACTAATATGCGTGTAATAAGAAACTTGCTTGTTTAAAATATTGGTTTTCAGCTGAGAATATTTTTTTGTGTGTTTATGTTGTTTATATTATTTTCAATATGACTAAACCACGAATAATAAAATATTAAAATGTACAAATATTGGTGAAGGGATAAAGTATATGTTATCTAAAAATATATTCAGATTAAAAGACCCATTTTTTGTGTATGAAGCGAAGTTATTCAGAAAATATTTTTCTAAAATTTTTGGCACTATAACAAACAAAACAATAAAAATGATTTTATTCAGTGAACCTTTTCCATTTACAGCGATAATGACGTGCAAAAATGATTTTTATACACAAAAGATAAAAATATATCAAAATGTCATTCCTAGTAAACATATGAATACATTCTATTGTTTGAATAATGCATGTGTTGGCTTTAAATATGTTTTGTATTGTGTGCTTAACTACAGGTATAAATTGTGAATGTTTACTTAGCTTGTGCTAAAGTATTGCTATATTTGATGATAGTTTTAACATTGAATTCGTAAAATCTAGGATGCAACTTGTTTACACTGTTTTACTGGGATGACATTTTATATCGATATTTGTTAACTTTTTACTCTCTGATCTTATTTTATTGCTATTTTGTAGTTATTTTATTTTTTTTCGCCGCGCAGAATGTTTTTTATTCTACATATTAAGATAAGCTGGTAGAAGATATGCTTTTTAGCTGGAGGCTAAACTTTTGCTTTAATTTTTACATTTATAAAAAGAACGCAATCTCAATTCTTTCATAGAATGAAATATTAATTGGTCAAATGACGCCATTTGACACCCATTAAGGCGCGGCTTCCTTCCATTCGTGTTGAAGTTGACAATAACATGATGAAATAAATAAGCAATACTAAATTACATATTCATTATAAGTTCATTTATTAGAAAGTACATATTGGCATTAGTACCTACTTAATGTTATTTGTAATTGTAGTTAATAATCAGAAATTAAACGAATAAGTTAGAAACCAACATAATAAACTATATGTACCCTTAAACACGAGTATAATGCAACACCTTAGTAACCAAGTAACTTCTGGTAAATTTGGTATATTCGAACAGAAAACACAGCAGGTGTGAAGAGCGATTTCATCGGCTTCAAATGCATAGTGTAGAGATTGTATCGGAATAGAAATGTGCTACATAAATGTACTGAAGTGTGAATGGAGCTTAACGAGTTAAGTTTATCGATAGATGGCTATTACGATAAATGAATCGAATTTGCATTTAGCTTTATTTCGTGTATAGAAAATTACTGTCGAACTCACGAACATGCCAGGTTTTTGCATATCAAAACATCAAATCAATTCATTTTTGATGTCCACCATTAGTTATAAAAAAAATAGTAAAAATCTTATGTATAGTAAATGTACTTCTATTACTCAATTTTTTTATAAAAACACAACTAAGTACTCTCCTATTAAAACATCTTTAGCAAAATCTAATTATTTCACAACTTAAGGAATGAATGTAAAAAAACTTTTTACTCTCTAATGGAATTGAACAAGTAAAAGATTGTTGTAATGAAAGCTGGCAACTCTAATCTAGGTATTCTGATAGCTTTAGTCTAGATTAATTTTATAACTATATCCTGATAACTATAAATACAACAAGTGTGGATGATTTGCTGATTTGCTTGGATTTTGTTACAAAAAAGGCTACAAAAGCAATTGGAAGACTTATTGATAAGGTAAACTGCAACATAAAGGGTTTTGGAGATAAATTGTAGATCTTTTATCCTGAGAGAAGATCGGTACACTCGAATAGTTAGAGACCCATGTTGGTAGTTCAGGGAAAGCTTTAGGAACATTTTTGTCCCATCCTTCGTGTTTTTAGAAGTTAGTATCAAAGTACCTTATAGTCTTATGAACTACACATACATACTCGTTCATACGTATGTAGCCACACACTCAAACATTTTTTTAAGTCTAAATTTAAATAAACACAACAAAACGAACTTAAAATTTTCTTAAGAAATTAAAATGATAATTTCCGTAAGTTTAAGCTGCGAATACTTACATTCAAGATACTTGTAGCTCATAGTACTCATCAATCTAAAAACAAAAAAAAATGTATGCATTAGTTTAGTGTGCATGAGATTATAAAAAAGAAAAAAATGTTTTTTTATATTCTACCTAATTTTTTTCAAACCTAATAAGTCATATACAAGTTTTATTACACCTAACCAAAGACTCCGGAAACGAAATCTTCCCAAAAACTCCTTGGATATTACATTTCAAATCTTTATTTATTTCCAATATCTCTGTGCTATTTTGTACCGTTGAAGTGAAAAAATGTATTTTTAGTAATTTTTGGCTTGATAACTTTTATCCTCTAATCAACATTTTTTTTAATTTCTCAAAATATAAAAACAAGGAACACACAAGCTCCTATCTATTTAACTAATATTGTTTTCATCCACTAAT